CCGAAAATGCCATAAACCTGTCATTTATTCTTTAAGTCCTTCAGACATTGTAGGAACTATCACTATCCACTTAAAATTATCGTCAAACTATTTATTCACACCCGCGGACTATATCGAATTTACAATTCCTGAACAATTTCCTTTGACACTATGCAACAAAATCACTTCTGCTGTTGATAGTTTTGAGAATTTTGAATAATTGAGCAGACATTTAAAACATCAAATAGCTTGTGGCAAATACACAGGCAATGTGACAAAGGTCAAACAAAGTATGAAATTTTTCCATACGGTGAAATTATTCATAATAATAAAAATTATATTGTCGTAAGGCTAAATCTCTTCTTTGACTTGGGCTTAAAGGTTTTAGTGCGTATATGCATATATGGACAAAAATAGCTCTTTTCCTCGCACACTCTCTCTCTCTCTCTCTCTCGCTCTCTCGCTCTCTATATGTCTCTCTATCTCTCTCATTCTCTGTGGTCCTGTTGAAAGCCGCAAGCAATTCTCCATGCAACAACTGGAACAACAACAGGCACTCAAAATTAAGGTCCGGCAACTGTAATCCATTTACCAAACTGGCTGCAGTCAATGTTCCTCAACTTGCTTAACTTGAACAAATTTTCCATCTAAGCCGCAATGAAAGTTGCAAAGAACGCTAGGCGAATCGAAGGCCAGGGCAAGGGGAGCAGTACTCACCAAATTTTCTTAAGACGCACACAAACACCGCATAACCTCCCCAAGAAAGCTGAAACTTTGGCATGCCTAAGCACATTTGAGCAGCCATACCAACCTGACTCAGGACCCAAACCTCCAATGCTCAATGCTTCCCTTGGCGATAAGGCCACAAGAAGCCACAGGCAGCTATGAATCTATCCAGCCTGCCAGGATAGAAGATACCCTGTAAACAGCTGTTAAATATCTTACATCGATTAATACAAGTTCTAGTTTTGTAAACAGTTCATTTAGAAAATTGTGATAACGATTGACAGCAATATCGGATTTTTCTATATTAAGTTTAGAGCTTCTGTATTTCTTAACCGATCTTGGTGACCTTTCTACAGTTGATCAATATTTTGACGATATAAATATATACAAATCGAATTGGATATTATGGTTTTATTGCTATTGGGAATCGATATCGATCAAAGCGAGAACAACCATGTAATGATAATATATAGGCGAGCTTGAGGTGTTCATATAGACGGATAGGACTAAATGGACTCAGCGGATGCTGATGATCAAGTTGGTTCCCTCTTCCTGTATCATATCCATATTTAATGAGTATACGGTATGAACACGAAAAAAAAGACTGGCATCAAAGTTTCAATATCCTTGCGGAGCAATCGAAAATCAGCTCCCAGTGGTATTCCGTGGCGATTTGTCTCATACAATTATGGGGGTCTGGGCAGAATACATTTCAACACGCCAAATGCGACAAAAGTCTACTAAAAAGATAATAAAATCTACTCCTAAATATATTTATATGTACATTTATTTATATAATCTGAAAAACAAACCGGATTAAATTCGAATAAATGGAAATAAATATATAAAACTCTATTTAAGCGCAAAAAAAGCCAACAAATAAAAAAAAAATTTAACTTGTAAAATTTTATGTTGATATTTTTGAAAATTGATTTAATATACTTAATTTATATGCTTAAATGTTCACATAAATAAACAATCAATCACAAAACAAAATAGATTTGTGAACAGTAAAATAAAAAGATATTTAAAAAACTTCAATCAGACAATTAGCCAAATAAATCATTGTATTTTATTTTATTTTATTTTTTTATTACTCCTATTTTTTAACCAAACTTTAAGACATTTAAAGCACTTATCTATCTGTTGTGAGCAATTAAAATAGATTTTTATTTTTTATTTATATTTTTTGATTTTGTTCATGTTAATATATCTCTCAAAAATTTGCAGCTGCGTTATTCAGTTCACATTAATAGATAATATATTTGTCTTTCTTAATACCAGAAAAAAACAGTGTCTGCTGAAATGAATGCATTATTTTAAATTAGCAATAGATAATTGAATAACTCAGCTGAGAGTATGCAGATTCGTTTCCATCTTTATCAACTTACAGGCCACAAGTACGCATAATTCCATCTAATTGAATCACTTTCAAGTGCGTTTCGTCTGGTTTGCTGTAAACTGAATGGGATCTGGGCGTCAGCATTTGTGCAAATGCAATTTGAAGGAATGAAAATAATTGAATTTTTAGTTTGGACCAAGTCAAAGTCAAGTCAAATCGATGCGAATCGTCTACCCAAACTCAAACTGACATCAGAGTCACCCAGTTAAAATATTTGCTTGTCTTTGTTGCTGTTGGCAATTTTGGCGCTACCAATGTAGAACAAAGGGCATCGGGTCCACACTTATGTATATGTATATACATATATCAAATTTCGCATTTTCATCGCATTTCATTGAATTTCTTATTCAAATACGACTCATGTGTCTGCAACCGATGGCCCCATGTGGTGGCGCTGTTACTGTGGGCGTGACTCGGTTGGTTTTGTATCCACTTTTAATGAGTTTAATGGCTACCATGGACATTGTTTGAATGTATATGCCAGGACACACATTGCAAGTCATATTTTGTTTCTCCATAATTTTCATTAATGTTTTCCAAGTCGAGATACTTCAAAAACAAATAGATAAAACTGTATAAGGCTTTAAGTGATCATCGAAAAATATGAAGATAGTTTAGTGGTAAATTCTTTCTAATGATATTACAAGAATATTTTCTTGTCTCTTGCTAATTTTGCTAACTTGTGTTAAAGTTGTCTCACAAAAAGGTATATTGGACTAAGTAAAATGTAATGACATTGTCATAATTTAAAAGTAATGTGAGCAATGCTAATCTAAAAAGTCTATTTGTTGACTTTGCTTAGTTCTTGGCACTTGATAATCTACTTTTAATTGTAAAAATAATGAATATTTTGTCGGCAAAGCAGGCAACTCAGTTCTTTCAAGCATGTCCTGCTCATCTAGACCGGATACTCAGGTCTCTCTCTCTCTCTCTCTCTGTTTATCTCTCTATCTCGCTCTCTTGGCTGTTGGCTCTTGGCGCTTAGGTGTCGGTTTTCAGTTACTTTTGCTCAACTTGTCGGCAAAACATAAACAAAATTAAGCAGCAGCTTTCACTTACACGCCCCACATAAATTTGTTTAATTACTTTGCTCAGAACATCAGTGCAGACGCCAACTGTTAAACTTTTGCCAAATGGTTGCGTTTTAAGTTTAATTATCAGAGTTGGCAGCTTCAACAATGCTCTAGCTACACACATACATACACACATAGACACATTTATACATACATAAATACGTTCAGGGAAAGCCTGGTTATTTTGGTTTTACCACGTAAACTTGAACTATTCCATTAGAGTGTATGCACTCAAGTATAACTTCATTTCCACTTCAAGAATGAATGAATACCAACTTTTTGAAGAGAGTACTTCAAATAATTCATATTTATTTCTTACAATTTGCATCAACATATTCATAAGTTTTTCTACTTTCTTTTTTACTACTACTATTTTGCAACGAAGACATCAATTCAAGTGGCAGTTGATATGTCTTAATAATACCATCAAAGCCCAATTAATTTGTGTATATGCACGTACCCTAATATATCTTTTGATTAAATTTGTTTTTTTAAAGTTGCGCTCAGCTGGGCTTAAGACCGAATTAAATCCTTTACTTTAGCCTTTCACCCGGCCTCGTTTGAAAACTTTAAGTCTCTTAGAGTTGGGTACAATACCGACGGGTTTTTCGAGTGAAATGCAAAAAAACCAAAAAAAAAGCCAATCAAAAACCTAAAAAAAAAAGTTTGGGTAAGCAAACAGGAAAATTGGGACATTTGTTGGAGGAAGAAAAGAAAATAAAAAATAATGTTATTGCATATAAGATTAAAAACAGCACATTTGAGAAATTTGCATTTAATAGCTGCTCAGCGATTTGATTTGGTATTCAATTGAGGTATATTAAAGTCAGCAAGGGTATTTAATCTCTGTGCATATCAAGAATCGCTGCTCTTTCCCCGTTGGCAATTTAAATAAGCCAAACCGAGCCAAAACCAGCTTGGCCAGACACTTTTGAGTCTAGATAAACAGTTAAATAGAGCGATGGCACCTGTCACTGTCTAAACGATGTCTGTCTCTATCGCATTCGCTATCTGTGTCTCTGTCTGTCACTGTTGATGTCCCAGAACGAAAAACACATAAACAGTTTTGGTAATTTATGGCCACTTTTGTGTGTCGCACTCAACTTACGGAAATTTTCAATTTGCAGGTACATTTACATTTTGTGGAACTGGGCTGGGGCCACGTAATTAAAACGAAACGAGAGCCCGCTACAAATATTTGCATAAAACGCTGACGGGCTAATAACTAATGAACTAAGCCAACTACAAAGCAGCAGTACAACCAACATAACGCTCATTAAAGATATCCACCACTTGCCAAATACGGCAGCTTCAGCTTCAGCTTCAGCTACAGGTACAGCCTTGGCCACATTTCCATATATATATATATACAGTTACAGCTCCAGCTAAAGCAACCGCTTAAATATATACTTAATAAAGTGCAACACGCCTTTGAGCTGAACACGGGCGATTCCACCAAAAATTTATGCAACGTTGACAGTCTCAGACGCCACAAAGCAAAAAACAGTCACTGGGAGGCAGTGGGGCAGCACGAGGAGGCGGGATTGAGAGATAGTTACACGACGCTGGCCAGGCGCACTAACAACATATAACGGGATTTTTCGCCTGATTTACTGTCGCTGTGTTTTGCAGACACCAACGCACATCAATCCTTTGCCAAGCCAGCACCTTTTTGCAACACAACAACCAACAGGCAACAGCAGCAGCAGCAGCACAACCAGAAACAGAGGCGAAAAACGAAAAATACAACAAAAAAATATACAAAAATATAAATAAAACAACTACAAGAAAAACAACGAGAACAACAGCAACAGCAACAGTAACAGCAACAGCAACAGCAGCAGCAACTTTTGCAAAATGCGTGGCCGTCACTTGCGTCGACGTTTCAGCCTGCAGCCCTCATTCATGAAGGATGACAGTGCCGAGGATAAGCCCAAGCGTGACAAGTAAGTTATAGCTTCCAATACATACACACACACACACACACACACACACACACACTACTATGCATAAGTTAAGATAAGTAGCTACGTGTCACGGCGATCGACAGGGAAAACAACAGCAGCCAGCAGAATATTTGTTAAAGTCTTTTTGGTTAAGTCGTTTTTAAGCATCCCTCACAAATGGCAACTCGCATAGCAAGTTCTACTTTTTCTTGCGAATATTTTAGTCTAATTTAAACTGGCATAGTTTAATATAGAGTTCGTTTAATTATATTTCAAGTATAAGTAAATGTTTTGAATCCAAATTTCCCAGCTGAACAGATTCATATATATTCCCAAAGACCGTTAATAAACTGTTAATTACATATACCCATAATAGAATTGATTTAGGGACATTAAGCAGCATTTAATTGAATGGAAGTCTAGTCGAATATTTATTCATTATACGCACTCACACGAGCCCAATAAAAGTATTTCTTTAAATTATTTAATAGTGCAGAGAACACACAGCGAAGGAGGATTTATTTCATTTTGCTTGTATTTTTATATTTGGCTCAAGCTGTCAGCAAAAAGTGGCAACATGATGGCCAGGTGGATGTCAGCTGCATGTCCACCAACTTGTGGGGGGGGGGAGGGTTTGAGTTGGTTGGACTGCCCGACGGCATCCGCCAGATTTTGTTTTCTTTTTGCTTATTTGCAACATTTCAAGTTTGAGGCACTTTGTTTTTGCTTATTATATGCTCAGCAAAACGAACCCCAGACCAAGCAAAACAGTAATAAGACATTCTCTGGTTGATTTGCTGTCCCGGCACGGACTCGGACACGGACTCGGACTCGGACACGGACACGGATTCGGACAGTGATACCCGCACCAGCGAAGGACAAAGGGAGACCAGCGTTTGCGTACATTCCCTTTTGTTTCGCTTGCCAAGTTAAGAATTTTATGTTTCGTTGCTTTCATTTGTTGTACTTCCCCTTCGCCCCACCCCGCCCCCCTATTCCCTTGAGCTGTATGTTTGCGTTGATTACACTAGGTCACAAAACAATGTTGTTTCATTCTTTCAAACCTTTTGAGATGTGTTTTTTGGCACATAAAATATCAAGGCGATCATTTCTTTTTTAACAAAATCTTGAAATCTTCACAAAATTCTTGAATATACAATTTCTGAAATCTAGAAAACCCCATAATAAAAAGATTATACAAATTTCATAGCCTGACTAGCGTGCCACATATTTAAAGAAATAATGTATTCAAAGATATTTTGATGATATCGGAATGTCAAAATTGGGTATTATAATTTCATTAGCAAACTATAATAGCAAACCTTATATAATATATGATGATAAAGCGCCTCTACAAAAATACCAGTTTTCAAAAATGGCTGAAAATAAATTCTCAACTGGAAATTATTTTCACATTTCTACATTTCGGATTTTAAGCTGTTCGATAGTGTTTGCTTGCCGCTTTTCATTTAATATATATATAGTTTTTTTTTGTTGATGCCACAGGTCGATGTTGAAAATATGATAAGCTGGTTATGTAGCAAGCTCTGCGTTGCAAGCTGCCAGCTCGCAGCGTGATTGAAATCCTATTGTGTCTAAGACACTCAATGCGCTGCCCAACCGTTATAAAAGAGAGCTGGAAAGCTTTTCAAGTTGGAATGTGATTGGTATTTTAACAAAAAATACACTGCTGCATTCACTGAAAACGTGATTTCTTATAAATCGATCAATTTGTAAATAAAAAGATTGTGTATCTGCCACACAAAATAACATTTAAAACTAGTCAGTAGAGCTATTGAAAAAGCATTCAATCAATTCGATGTTTAACACTATTGGAACTCTTGATAAAGCCACGAATCAATCAGGATTGTTAGATCTCTTAGCCCTTAAGCTTAGCTAAAGCATACTACAATTGAATACAACAAAAGAAGGCACAAATCCGGGCATTATTTAAGTATTACTTAGATATGTAAAGTATTACAGCAGAAATGTAAGCCATTAACAGCTTATAAAAATGTCTCTGAAGCGATGGCAACACAAACCAAGTCAGTCTTAAGCCGCAGTTGAAATAATGAATTAAAGGAATAAGCCATCCCGAGAATATTGTAATTGATATATGTATGTATGTACATAGGTAGGTGTGTATATATGTACTTACATTAAGTTTTCAACATTGGTCGGTACGTCATTGAGCTGGCGGCGAAATGATTAATTTTAAATGTAGCGCACGGTTTTAATGAGTCGCCAAGGAGATTGAAGCGTTACACCCCTTACGGCTTACCATTTTCCTTTGGGGTTTTTCTTTTTCCATGTTCAGCTCACATTACATACATATATATTCTGCGGCGTGCAACAGCTACACACACACACACACACACAGACAGTCAAATGTATGTAGAAGTGCACTCAGAAAAAAATCAACATAAATTTCGAAAGAATATTTCTAAAAAGCAGTTTTCTTTTCTTAATTTACATACATTTTAATATAATACTCCAAAAATTCTGTGTAACTTCCAACTAACAACTAAAAACTGCATTCGCTTTTTGTATGCTTACATTTATGATATTATTATTTAAAGATTTCACATATAAAAACATTTTAAATAACTTGTAAAGTTATATATTTTCCCACTGATTTTTTTCTCCGAGTGTGTGATTAAATAACTAAACATGAAAAGCAAAAATAATTTAATTTAAGTTAACTCAATCTGAGTTGAACTCTTCTACTAAGCTCAGCGTTTTCTCTCTCTCTTGCTGCGGCATTTCACAGAGTTGGCCGGAATAATGCAGTGGACGATGCCATTGGACCGGCAAATGCACGTCATAAAATTGTGGTTATGGGCGCGGCCAAAGTGGGCAAAACCTCAATAATCACACAATTTCTATACAACACATTTACCACCAAATATAAACGGACCATCGAGGAAATGCATCAAGGGAACTTTTCCATTGCGGGCGTGAGCCTAACGCTTGATATACTCGATACAGCCGGTTCCTATGAGGTAAGTTGCCACCCAAAAACCTACCCGACCTGCTCAAACTACCCACCTCAAATCTCACAGTCCGTTGGCTAAGTGAGTTCATTAACTGAATCAAGTTGTTGTGTATGTGTGTGTGTGTGTGTGTAAGGACCATGAGACCCATATCTTTATGTATGTATACCTGGCTCTAATCGGTTTTAGCATAGAGTGCCACAAGCATTTAGTTAGTTTTTAACGTATCCGAGCGACGCTGTGACAACGTCCAGTAAACATAATTTTACCATCTTGCTTCATTCTCCATGCTCCATTTGCCTCCGTCTCCACATCCACATTCACATCCACATCCACATCCTCGTCCTCATTCATCTACAGCAGTCTCGCTTGGCTTTGTGCGCAGCGGAAATTACAGCCTGCGATTCAATTTCGCTGCCACTTCCGCTAAGCGCGAATTGAAATGCTTGTTCATAAAACTGAATGGCAAGTAACAAACGGCAACAGCAGGTGGCAAATGAAAAGAAATATGAATGGGACCACACACACACACACACACATATATATATATAAATATACTCACACACACACAGAGAGACAGGCAGGCATTGAATGCAAAGCAAGTCAACTGTGACTGCGCCAAAAGGATGCTCAACAGCTGGATTTGTCCTTGATACAGCAACTGCCGTAACATGTGTCATCATCAGTTGACGTTATTTCACAGTATTCACATCACTCCAATATCAATAATTTGGCTGTTGCCCGAAGTCATCAATTTGATTTCGCTAAGATAAATTCCATAATAATGCTCGGTTGTCACTTAGTTTGATGCCATCAAGCAAATTAACGCAATGGGTACAGGTCAAGTCTCGTTCAGACACTGATAACCTTATTTATATTATATATTAAAATATATATCAACTCTAATATCAATCATTGGCCGTTGCATGAAATTACAATCTTGATTTCGCTAAGATAAATCCCAAAATAATGCTGGTATTGAATGAGCTGACCAAATCTCCCTCAGACACCGATAACCTTGCACTATTTATACGAGAAAATTCATTTGAATAAAAGTAATCGCTTACTGGTCAGCGGCGTACAATGCAAAGCCATCGTAATGGCTTTGACATTGTGAATAAATATAAAGAAAAATTGGCATTTGTTAAAGCATCTCCGCTTAATGCATACAAATATAGAATAGAAGCCCCCCAACAACATGCAAGTATTTAGATTTCGATTGGGAAACTGTCTTGTTGGCTTACGAGCCAGCACGGTCGCAATTTCCGTGCCGAACAGGCTAACAGCGGGCGGTCGATGCCAAAAGAATATTGCAACTTTCAAAGAAACATGTACTCAGTTGCTTGTTGCTTGTTGCATGTGTGACTTGTATGTGTAACTTGAGTGAGTCGACTTACTGTTGCCAGCGGCAGACGACAGACGCCAGACGTCAGACGATTTTTTCTTGCTCTCACATTTGGGTCGACATCGATGTTGTCTGATGTGTCTACCATATATTGTGCTGCTTCCATTTGGGTAAATCAAACTTAATTTTCAGTAATCATCGTATAAATAAATAACAAGTAAGACAACTCCATCAGAGACAGCTAGCCTAGCAGATACCCTTTCAAGTATATATATTTATCAAAATAGCATTTGATGCTGAATCAGAAAATAAAAAATACCTTATTGGGTCGAAGATGGCTGTTACATAGACTTGCACAAGTTCATAATACCCTCTTTAATCAATGGGTTCAGGCTATAAAAAAAAAAAGTATCCAAGCTTTTTGTATATGCGTTTCAAGAATTCAGTTAACGGAAAAGAAATCAACGCATGATTGAAAATAAAGCATCATTTGATTCGTATGGCACAGATAACAATTTAATGCCACAACAAAATATCGGCTTATAACATGTTGGAATAGCAAAAAGTCAAATCGTTGATCTCTGTTCACCCACATATTGATATGCATGTCTGTATGTGTATGAGTATATATATTTATATCTCTTTCGATGTGTACGTCAGTATCTGTTTAACAAGTTAAGCCCACATGCTCATTTACTTGTCAAACTTTGTGCATGCTGACAACAAAATTACTTTGAATGGATCAATTTTAAAATTGAAATTAACCTGTCATTTACAATTTGACTTCTTTTTTTATAATGTTGTGCGATTTAAATATTTATTACCTTTAGTTTCCTATCAAGCAAAGTGGCAGATGAAAATATCTGTAATTGAACAACAAAGTTGGATCAGTTGCCAAATAAATCGAATTTTAGTAATTATGCCCTGAGCCATGAAAATGTTAACTGACAGAAACTGAAAATGTTTTTTTTTTCGTTCATTTTGGCCTCAAACTATTTTCTCACCGACGCGTCCGTGCATGGATAACACACATTATAGAAACTTCAACGAGCGGCGATTTTCCAGCTCAGGCGAATATGTGGAATATTTGCATCGGACAGTTACTAAACGAAATTAATTTCAAAATTAAAAATCCAAATATTTTATTAAATTCCAAATGCAAAAGCAACAAAACATAATAATAAAAGAAAAGAAATTTAAGCAGTGTCTATCCAATCTATCTGTGAGATAGTCCTGAACGGAACTAAAACTTCGTTTGGATTGGAGCATTTACTAAATCAGAAATTGGAAACTTAAACGAATTCGGTAATTTCATAATAACTAACAATGGCCAATTAATTGCGCAGACTAAAACGATGTGACACATGGCATTTAATTTAGCTCAGCAATGCAAGTAATTTAAATTGAATCGCTTCGGCTTAAATTACCAAATAATTGCAAATTGTTATATACAACAAATGACAAATTTACTGTGCCACAAATCCGAATGCGTAACACTCTGATGCCAGGGCAATTCCAGTTGACGGAGACAACACATAATATCTATACATATATATATATATATATATATATATATATATAAATAAATATATATATATAGTGTTATCTTATAGGTTAACAATCATGCGGTAGCTGAATAGAGCAAAGTTCAATGCATTTACTCATTTCTACGCTCATAAATTCGTATATTTATAGTGTTTGTGTTTTTTTGCGGCCACCAGTACGTATGCGCAATCATTTCCAGTCAAGTAGCCGCAATAAAGTGCATTGTACGGTGGCATATAGTAAACACAATCAAGCGCCAGCACGTACACAAACACACACACACACATACTTACACTCACACTCACACATACACACTCACACACACACTCACACACACACTACACACACACACACACACACACACACACACATTGTTACTCATGCAGCTCATGTTATCAATTGCAGCAATTGAATATGCGCTTATCGTCACGGAAGCTGTGTGTGTGTGTGTGTGTGTGTATGTGTGTGTGTGTATGTGTGTGTGTGTGTATGTGTTTTGTGTGTGTGTGTGTGTGTGTGTGTGTTGTAGGAGGAGGTTGGTGGTTATATATTCCATTGGCTAAGCACAAATGCCACCAACTGTCCAAACAGCGCACATAGATACCGTCGCCACATAGTTTTTGTGCCAGTGCACGTGCTCTATGATTTTATTGTTTTGCTATTAATTGTTTTAGACACAAAAGCGCCGTTAAAGCATAATATTATTATTGTTATTATTATTTTTATTGATATGTACATGAGTTTAAAGTATCTACTAGTCGAAATCACACAATAAATGTTCGAGTACTTAGCACTTTTTCAATTACATACACTCAAAAAAAAATTGATGCAAATTTTAAATAAGTATAACATTTATATTCAAGGCTTTGTAAAAACTTAAATATTATGTGTGTATATAGAATAATTCTTATAATAGCTTTTGAGTTACTTAGATAACTATTCAAGATTAGAATTCATAGACTTAGTTGCTTAGACTTTGTTTATAAAATATATAAAATTCATATTGACAGAATGATTTCACTATTTTTTTGAGATTCGATTCTCGATTTGGGGCAAAAAGATTTTTGTTTTTCTAATATTTTTTTTTTTGTTAGCCTCTCTTTTCTGAGTGTACTAAAAGTGATTGTAAAATGATAATTATTATATTGCTGGCATTATACACACATCATACAATTAATATCATAAATGAAAGAGATACGCTTTATTTACTAGACATTACCGATGACCATTAATTTAATTCGGTTGTTTGCACTGTTAATTACACGCTCTCATTTTGTTATTCATTAAACAAACTACCTTGTTACGAGTTGCTTGTAATATTAACAGTTTTATGGAATGCATAAATGTTGAATATAAAACAACAAACAAAGCTCCTTAAATTCATACTATTGCTTGGTGCATATTTTGATAGTTATAAAACCAAAATGCATACACAATTAAAATAACATTTCTTACGTTGGCAAAGCATACATTTATTGTACATTTTAACGAGGACATGATTTCATTTTAGAAAGTACAAATGCACACACACACTCAGTTTGGGATCTGAATATGACATTAGAAAATTTCTTAGAATCATAACTGAAAGTTCAGTGGTTCACTTGACCCAGATCTATATATAGCATTGCTAGTAGCTACGTGCTATTTTGTGTGTGCGCAGTGTGCAGTTTTGGTTGCGTTTGAATTCGATTGGAATGAATAAAGTACAAGTTTTGAGGGGCCATAAGCCAATTAAACCAATTGCCAACTTATAAACAATAGCATCTAGCAACAGCTGCAGACATGACTTCGATTGCAACATATGTGGTTGTTATTTTTCTTGTCCATAATCCAATTGAATGGCTGTATGCCAAATAAAAAAACACAGGCTGCCAAAAAATAAACCCCCAAAAAAACAAAACAAAAAAAAAAAGAATGAAAAATACACAGCACGACAAGTGGCAATAATTTCGAATCCATTGAGAAATCAAGTGGCAAAACATATGAGTGAAAGTATCAGCTGAACAGCAAGAACCTTGGCAGCGAGAGCAGGACGAGAGTCCTTCGATGCTGCCAAGCTGTCAGTGAATGTGTAACGAACTGAAACCACAGTCATCGTCAACAGAACTGGATATAGCACGGAGTGCCTTCTAGTAGGAGCTTGCCACCTGCCAACTGTCTGTCTTTCTGTCTGTATGCCAATCATACTGGTCTCGGAGTGTGCATAAAAATGGTTCATTCATAGACAGGTTGGCCAAGCGCGTGCCCATAAGTCGTTTAAGCCGCACAGCTCGCCACCCCTCGCTCCTCCTCCCTTCCGATACAATAATATGTAATGATAACAGAGGCAGCTGCCGCACCAGCAAAAATAACAATATTTTTTTTGAAATATGCTCTGCAAGTATTAAATGTATATATATTATATAAATATAAATTCTTACCCAGCATAACTACTCCAGTCGTCCATCTGTCCATCTCAATGCCATTCACTTTTAAAGGTATCCTGAAGAAACTTGAAATATATATTGTAATAAGTAAAATGTTTGAAAATGAATTTAATTGCCTGCCACAAACTTTCAAAGGGAGAAATGTGCGTTTAATTATTTTCATGAAATACAAAAGAAAGATAAGACAGCCCCCTATAGAAATATGACTTGCAAAGTATTCGAATATTAAAAGTTAGCTTTCGGACATATTTGAAATACATCTTCAATGAAATTTCACACGCATCTTTCTTCAGTCTAAATTTCAGTTTTCGATTTGATCAAACATCAAACAGTTACTCAGTTACTCTCCGACTGTCAGTCCGTCAGTCAGTTAATCAATCACTCTTTAATCTGTTTAATTTAAGTATTAAAATTGATTAGCTGAACAAGCTGAAACTTGCTTCGAGGCTAATGACGTTGGCAGGCTTCGACTTCTGAGCTAAAGGCGCTTGTATTCGCTTAAGAGCTTATAATTTTAATATAAATTATGACAATAGCATCAATATATTGAATTGTAAGCCTAAAACTCTATTATCCACCTGATTTGATTAGCTAGTCAACTGATGGATGATTCTTAAGGATTTAGTTGCCTTTCACAAAATTGAAATCTATGAAATACCCACACGGACTGAGAGCTTTGTATTTGACTGGATTCGACTGCATGGTCAGAGGGGTATTATGTTGCATCGTTACCTCGTTGCCATTGTGCAGCATATGGGTCATCTGAACCGTGCCACACGCAGCTCACACACATGCTGAACTGAGCTGTGTGTCTGGCTGTGGCCAGATTTGACCGGCAATGTTATTTGCCATTGTTGGATCCTTTATTCTTTTCATTTGGATTTTCATTTTCAATTTTCAGTGCCGTTCACATTTCGATGGCTGCCTTTTGATTTGCTCGCAGCCACTGCAACATAACACAACCATACAGTATGGAATTAAGCTGCCAACCGTATTGAATAGCTGGCCCAATGCAGATGCTGAGCCTCAGCTCACAGAAGGGAAACTTTACCGAGAACTAGACACACGGTTCTGTTCTTCGAAAAACTGAGGGTTTTATTTCATATTTATAAAAACTTATAGACCACAAATGTTTCCATCCTTCAAAAGGGGGACATATTGTAGGATTACTAAGAACGTCCTCAAAAATTGTATTCAACCACGCAAAAGCCTATATCTACTGCAAGTTTAAAGTTCAACTTGGAGTGTAAATTATTAGCAACCTTAAAAAATCAGTATTTTTTGGCTACATTCACCCTCTTATCAGATGGTATTACTTATTGGTGCCAGAGTATTTCGCAATCGGTTACGCTCGACTGCAACTCTCTCACCTGTTGGCTTTAATAAATGTGTTTCATAAAAGTCGAGAATATTAAAAAAAAAAACACAACTTATTTCTGCTCTTCTGGATGCGGTTGTGGATATGGCTGTGAGCTGTGACTGTGACTGTGCCTGCACCTGGACGAGCACACATTCAATTTCTAAAAACATCTGCAAAGCTTATGACTTTGACAGTCATTATTAGTGGTATATGAAGACCAGAAGCACCAAAAGCCAAATATTGTTGCGGTTGTGGCTCCGAGACAGTCGAAACATCTCCTGTTTCACAGAAGAGGTCCAGCAATGTGGCAGACAGACACCAACCATCATCCAACAGACCCTGCCACAACCACAGAGATTCAGCCCATTGATTTAGCTTTAAAAGTATTATATTTTTAACTCGTTTCATTTGCGGTATTAAAGGTTTTCGAATGTGTCCCATGCAATTATTCACCAGCTTTCACAGATGAAAACAGATTTATTTTAAAGAATTTAAGCATAAATTACTTGTTCTAGCTTATTTTGACTATTTGCCGGATTTTATCTTATTCTTCTCCGTTCATAATCCATGACACTCGCATCAAATCAGAAAGTATGTGTAAATTATTACCATTTTACCGATCTTTTAAAAAATATTGGATTATCTTACATATATGTAAATTACTTTTTTTAAGTACCAAATGATATACATACATAGCTGCTAAAGGAAAAATCAAATATAAAAGCAGATTTTAACCAGATTTTTTTTAAGTTATCTATCAAAGTTTTTACATTTTTGTAGTCCATGCTTAAAAAATAAAATTTTAAATCATAAAAATAAATCATAAATAGACCATAAACAAGGCATATTTTACGGCGTTATTCGAGTTCATTCCGTGTTCATAATGTATGCAGTATTTGTCCGCTTAAAAATGTAAAGCATAAATCACAATTTCATATGTCTAACGAGGCGACATGTGGAGGATTTGGAATTATGGAATTCGTAATTAGGTCATGTGTGTCATCTTCACTCATACAATGAGAACAGCGCTGGTTGATCCTTGCAATCCTGGGCAAGCGACGTGGATTTTAATTATATTATATATAGAATACCAATTATGCATTTAAAATGCAGAATTCATTTCATAAGCATTAACTGATGTAAAACTAAACTTCATAATTCTGGTATAATTATTTATCGTTGGATATTGATTTTTTGATAATTAGCTAATGTTATTTAAATCGAATTGTAACTTGCCTGATATTTGTGAAAGGTAAAACGAACTCGTAAAATTAATGGACTAAACTAAAATTGATAGGTTGGTTATAATTATTAAGACAATTTGCTCTTCCATCAACCTGATTGCCGCACAAATGTGAAAATCTTTGACGGGTTAACAGTTTCTGTGTCTTTCGAGATTAAATCAGGTTTCTCTAGAATACCATATCTTTTCCGGGCTAAGACGACACAATCTCTTCTGATGTGATCTCTTTGTCACAAGCTAGGCTAAGTTCGCTGTTGACCCAGTTTAACTAGGGTCAATGGACTGTCCAGAGACCGAAAAGTATCTAAGTCGGTACCGCTCCAAGGCTCTTACCTGCTCAAATCGTTATTGTCCTGAGACCTGCCTGTTATTCTGTGTCTTCCCTATGCCTTATATAGTACTCATAATCATAGCAAAAAAAGAAAATGAAATGGACAAAAATGAAGTGGGTGAGTGGAAAGTCAACGAGTTGCTGCAAAAGCCCCCCTTTTTTTTTGCGAAATATATATTAATAATTATCTGTCATTATAGAAGGATGTGCATGCATGTGTGTGTGTGTGTGTGTGTGTGTGTGCATATGCAAATACATCAAATAATATGCAAATTTAAATCGGCATTTCATTTTGTAATTTCACTTTTACACTTTGAATCTCCCTCGCACTCCGTCTGTCAGTCGCTCGGTCTGGCAGTCGTTGTCGTTGGTTCGGTCTCTTTACATCTGTTTATTGTAATTTGGTTTGGTAAAATTGTAATGCCCGCATATGTATTTGGCTCTTCACAGTTTCCAGCAATGCGAGCTCTATCCATATCATCGGCAGATGCGTTCATTCTGGTCTACGATGTGACCGATGCGGCGACGTTCGAGGAAGTGCGCGCTATACGAGATCAGATACATGAGACGAAGGCAACCACAGCGGTGCCAATTGTGGTTGTTGGCAATAAAACAGATCTGCTCGCCGAGGATGGTGAACTGCGTGAGGTGAGTAACGCAGTGGCGGAGTTTTTTTTTTTTTCATTACCCGCTCCACAGCCACCAACTCCGCTCCCCCTACTCAAGGTCATTGCGTAATTTTTATTATTTGATTATTTCTGTGCGTGTGTGTTGTGCGTGTGTGTGTGTGTTGTGTGTGTGTGTTGTGTGTGTGTGTGTGTGTGTGTGTGTGTGTGTGTGTGTGTTGTGTGTGTGTGTGTGTGTTTGTTAACATTTAATTTGAAGCTGCGCCTTGTGGCTCAAATGACAACAACGACAACCTCAATTTAACTGATTTAATTGTTGTTGGCAAAAGCACTCAAAGGAGTGTTTATACAATAAGTAAAGCACACACACACAGTCACACACACACACACAGTCACACACACACACACACACTCAGACAAACACCACGTAGAGTAACTCATAACCCGTTTATAAGCTATGCAAATTGCTTTTGTTTCGTCCCAAGCAATTATGTAAAGTTTGTCAAGCGTGACCAGCTGCAACGAGACCGACGGGAACAATGTCGATGAGGATACCAACTCCAGCCTGGTGGCCTAGTCCAAATGCCTGCTCAGCTTTGGCTCGGTGTCTGTGTCTGTGTTTGTGTCTGCCAAATTGCTGCGAAAGTAAAATTATTTTTGCTTAACAAATCGCCAAAAGCAATGGTTGTTTTCTTCTTTTTTTTCTTTTTTTTTTTTTGTCTTCCTCCGACGCACGCAAAGTCAGTTAAACAATTTTCCATCATTCCATTAGGCGGCAGATTTGCTGGTATTTATATTTCACTCAGAGTGAATTCCACTAACTTCTTCCCTGTTATTATTTTAATGAATCACAGTGCCTACGCGAAAGTATGTAACAAATGTCAGAAAGAAGAATTCGACGGAAAAGTTGACTAAGCCGATTCAGGCGAGAGAAATCGAATACAAGCCATAAAAGCCATCCTTTAATCAAACACGGCTGGCGATAAATATTTTATACGATTTTTGAGAGTAGTTTAAAAGTTTTTAAAGTTAAAACCTGATCCTTTTTTTAAATAATATTAATCATTGATTTTTTGTGATTTACGGCTGTGATTTAATACGCCTTTCAAATTTAGCTCGAACATTTTGCTCGGTTTGAAAGTGATGTTTGATTGCTTATAGATAGATATGTAAATGGACAAATAGATATGTTAGCCAGTGTCACATTTAAAATAAGTACTAAAATGTGCTGTCAGATAAATATCATCCAGATAGATGCTTTGGCATTTCAAATGACGTGCAAACTAATAGCGAAAGTCACGCGAAAAGAATTCCATTCAAATATGGAAAACATTTGTGAGCGTGTCGGCATATTTATTTAGCATATTAAGTGGAACTTTCAAAAGTACAGCAAAAGCTTATACATACATATATATATATATATATATATATAGTACATACAAATATATACTTGAAATACATATGTAGTTATGTACTTATTTGCGTTTGTCGCATTTTGTTTTATTTGAGAGGAATGCCAGGAGCGACGCCATAATAAGTGAATTTATATATGCATGTTCAGCACATATATACGAGTATTCACTAATAATACACGGGATTAAAGCGAGGTTCCACAAACGACTTGGGTGTGCTATATCTTAAATGATTATCGTTCGGGTAAATGCCCAAATGGAATTTTGTATTAGTTTATGCAAATTTTTATTTTTGGGGGCGGGCAAGCTGCGCTGTTATGTTAGCCTGCGGCCAGTTTAGATTTTAAACTCAATTTGAAGTACTCAAAGTATACGTTCAACATGATGTGGGGGCCAGTGAGTTTAAGTGACAGACTGACAGATATCCTGTACACCGATCTAAACGTATTCAGACAGAGACGATGTTAGATTAGACAAGATATTAGATCTTTCTCTATAACATATTATTACTAACATATATACGTGATAGATATGCATTCATATCATTTTTTTTTAATGAAAGTTTTAAAGTAATACACACTTCAACCAACTTTCTCTGTGATGCGTTTATAGACTCAACTCCTCCTTCTCTTCAAGATCAGTTGAGATAATTGCCAATTTCAATGAATAAATAGGAATGTCCTCAGTTTTTCTATACATGTCTCGTCTCTTTGGGTGTCTCTGACTCACTTCCCTTCCAAATGCATAATAAACGAAAAATAAATAGATTACACAATCTTAAATAAAATAAAATACTTTTAAATTTTCTCGTGGAGATGCTTTCTCCCATTTATACACCTGTTTTACACTACAGGTTATTGCAAAACATAATTCGTCCAAAACTGAAAGTGAAACGACTTTCGATACAGTTTTCCTTGTTTCGATTGAAATAGTTGCGTTTTTAGTTTCGTTTCAATGAAAAAAGTTTAAAGAAAAAAGTTAAAATTCAAAGAACTTCCTCACTTTGAACTTTCCAATCATATGCATGTGTATAAAAAAAAAAATATATATATATATATTTATGTATATTATACATTGTTTTATATTTCAATAACACAAACAATTTTAAGCATTTGGCTCAAGGAGAAATGAACTCTTTTAGTATTTGTACGAATAAAATAGATAAAATAAAAGTAGATAAATAAATAAAATAAAACATTTGAAATAGAATTTATTAACTAGCTGGCCAAAATCGAAAATATAAAGTCAGGCAAAAATAAATCACTCCCAACTGTCAAATTAAATACAATATCATTTAAAATTACTTGTAAATATAATCGTACAAGACTTGTTTAAGCACAGCCAACCCTTTTTTTAGTTTTCTTTTTGCCCTTTTTTTTGTTTTTTGCTAACCGTCTTAGAAATTTCAATTTTAATTTATCTTCGGCTTTTGTGCGAAGTTGTTGCGTTATTGCTGTTGTTGTTGTTGTTGTTGTTTGGCACCACCAGCGTTTGGACCACTTGATGTATACTTGATATTTCATTATGTGCCCCTTTTTTGTAGCGTGCCTTTTTTTTACCGCACACACACACAAAAAGTGGGTGAATGGATGATTGGGTTGGTGGGTGGGTGGTTGTATGGGACAACTGTGCAAATCCAGCAGTTTATTGTCAATTTCAATAGTCGAGACAATGCTCGCTGGCAAAAGTGTCGTCTTTTGGGTGTATTGACTTTAACCGAGTTCTAATATAATAAAAATGCAAATTGCGCACCGCCAGCAGCGGCGAACTGTCGCGTTTTTTTTTTGTTCTCTCTCTTTTTTTTTACCACCCATCGTCATTGCTCTCTCTCTCGCTCCCTCTCTCTCTCTCTCGCTCCCGCGCTATCTTCAGCGTGTTTCTGTTTTTATTTTTTGTTTAACGAAGTGAACTTAACTTTTTGTTGGCGCTTTAGGTTTTTACTATGTATTTAGGTTATGCCAGGACATACTGAGTTTGTTGGCCATTTTAAAGCCAATGTTTGCCATGTTGGCCAGGCCCAACAAAAATATATAGCTTACCAGCTGGGAAACTGGCCAGATGGGCCGAATTCAACAAATGGTAGGTGCCACGCACGTTTTTGCCTTTTTTTTTGTTTTTTTGTTTTTTTTTTTGTTTTTTTGTCTTCATTTTTGTGATGCTGCTCTTTGGGTTTGTTCATTTGGAAGAATTGGGCTCGAGTTTAGTTCAGTTCTGTTCTGTTCAGTTTAGTTTAGTTTAACTCACATTCTTGTTCTCGTTCGGTCCCCCGTAAGAAATTACAGTCAGCAGTTTCCTTTTCCATTTTGCCTTTACATACACATATATATATATCTATATATATATTTATATACATATATGTATGTATTTCTATGTGCCCTTCTATTGACTATTATTTATTTTCACTTCATTTTTTTCTTCTTCATTTTTTTCATTACCGCCGCAATTTAGACGTCTATGTGCGTTTCGATGCCGATAAGAAATAATATCCAAAAACACATAATGGACTCCGCACAATGTTCAATCACTTTGGGTATGCTTTGGATTGGTTTTACATTTACATTCTATTGAGGTCTTTTTCACGTTTTGCTCAAACCTAATCGATTTAAATAAAAATTGCTCCAAATTTCTGCGCATGCAACAATTTTTTTAATCTCGATATACAAGTCTAGGGCGAAAGATATTTATTGAAGTTGATAAAAAAAAAAATAGTTTGGTATTCGACATATTGTAAAAAGTTATTTATAGCTCGAAATGATGCTGAAGTTTTTTGAGCAAGGCTTTTAATTTTTGGAATATTTCTCAGGTCTGTCATTGATGAAGGTGTTGTATTTTTTATTGTATTGGATCTATGTTCTTCTGGATAATATTCTTCTTCTTTTTGTTTAATATGTGTACATATTTTGATGTATATTTCAAGTTCACCTTCTTCCCCAACTGATTCTAGATTTATATTTTGTTCTTACCAGCATTGTTGCTCTTCTTTTTAATCCAAGTTGAACGGGAATTGCCAGCCAGTGTTATTAAAATGGCCCTGATTATTGTTGATGTTGATTGGAATTGTTGTCAATATCAGGATTATTGTTAAAATTGTTGTAATTTTGCGACTGCAGTAAGTTGTTACGATTGACAGCCATCTCACTTGCCCACGCAGAAAGGGTCATCCGCCTTTGATGGGCTATGTCCCATGCCAAATGCCGATTGCTGACGGAATGCGACAATGCAGGATGCAGCGAATGTGTATAGTCTACGAGTGGTGGTGGTGGTGGTTGCAGTGGTGCTTGCGGTGCTGTTTGTGCCATTTCCTGTTGCTGCTGTTGCTGTTGTTGCTGTGTCTGTTGCAGCTGTTGCTGTTGCTGTTGCAGCTGTTGCTGTTGCTGTTGCTGTTGCTGTTGCAGCTGTTGCTGTGTCTGTTGCTGTTGCTGCTGTTGCTGCTGTTGCTGTTGATGCGGCATAGTGTGGGGATGACATGGCTGTAACCATTGCTGGCCACGATGCGACCATAATTGCTGTGATTGTGTGTAAGCTGTAACTGCTGCTTGTGGTGCTTGTGGCGTGGCTGATGCAGCTAGTTCGATTCCCTGCAATGGCATTGGATGATTTCGTATTGGGGGTGGCAGCTGATGCTTCAATAGCAGGTACAGCTGGCGCAACTGCGTCAGCGACACCTCGAACTGCTGACGATTGGGCAATGCCGGCAGCATCTGTTCGATGTACTGCAGCAGCTTGCGGGACATGTGTTTGGCCGTCATCAACTGCATGGTGAGCTTGTGATTGTCTATGGCTGGCAACTGTGCCGGCGTCTTCTGTTTGTCATTCGTCTGTTCGTCGTGGTTAAGTCGCCACACCTCCGAAGATTGCTGTTGGCGCTCCGCCTCGAATTGGAGCAGACGCTTCCAGTGCAGCCAGGCATTGAATTCGGGACTGATTGCATTCACTTGTCGCTGCCGCTGCGGTTGCTTTGAGAAAAAGAGTGTCCAGTTTTCGCCATGGTCAACGCACTTACCATTTGTGGCTTGTTCGGACTGTTTATGGCAGCCAGCCGTTCGGCTCGCTCCGAGCCAATTGGCGCCAGTTTATAATTTTGATTCATACTTTACACAATTGTAATTTCATAAAATGTTCAGCTTCATTCACAACATTAATTTTAATCTACGGCCTACTCTATTCTGTACTTTACTCACAGCATCAACAATGAGTGAATGGGTTTTCCTTCAAATCTCGAAACAGTTTCCGATTAAGTGCGCCCTTTTCTACACACATACATATATAAATATATATATATATATATGTTTGAATGGATATGGTTTTTCAATTATCCATTATTCCACTATGTGTTTTAACAGTAACAAAAAGTTTCTGTTTAAAATTAAAGAAAACACGGATTAAGTTCTTATTACAAATGGATTAAGAAAATTTCATTTCATTACTCGAATTGCATCAGATTTGTTTTAGTTGTTGTTCAAGCTGATGAATCATAATTTAAATGCTCTTCTCTTTGACAGGTGGAATATGCCACAACCGAGTCGGTGGTAACTGTCGATTGGGAAAATGGCTTTGTGGAGGCATCGGCGGCGAACAACGATAACATTACCCAGGTAAGTACTTCTAAGTGATGCATTAATTAAGTGACAACCACTGATAATTGCCTTCTCTCCCTCTCTCTCTCTCACTCTCCCTTTCTCTTGGTCTATGCTAGGTTTTTAAGGAGCTGCTGGCCCAGGCAAAAATTACGTACAATCTGAGCCCGGCGCTGCGGCGTCGTCGTCAGTCGCTGCCGCAGCAAATTGGCAATAATGGACCGGGCACACCGGTGCACCATCCGCATCACCACCACCATCATCAGCCGCATCAGACGCATGGACAGGGTGCGGCGCATGGCTCCAGTGCCGGCTCGGCCTCAACATCGGCTGGTGCCGCTGGCGGTGGGCACGGCTCAGCCACACCAACGCCGGCACAGCTGCAACATCTGCAGCGCATCCAGGAGCGCAGCCTGGGCTCCAAGCGCAACTCTTGCACAATTTCCTAAGCGAGGCGAAGCCGATGAAAAACATAAAGAAAAACAAAACAAAACAAACAACAAACAACCTATGCAACTGAACAACTGAACAACTAAACAAACGGTCTCCTACAAATGGTTTTCAATGTTTCACAAATAAAACGATTTACACTGATGTATCTACGATCGATTCTATTATAGTCGCGACTCAATTGTACCTTTCACTCATCACTTTAGTACCTATCTCGGGCAACTTTTCGCTCTCTCTTTGTCTCACAATGTCGCTCTCTCTCTCTCTCTCTCCCTATATCTGTCTCTTTCTCTTTCTCTCCCCTCTCTCTCTCTCTGTTTCTCTACCTGTCTCAGCAAGTCTAGTTTTTTTGGAATCCAAGAACATATTGCATGCATAATCTGTAGCTAAAATTCCCATACCAAAATAAATGTTAGATATTTCTACAGATAGACTACACTACTATGTATGTAAAAGATCTACAGATGTGTTAACCATCTATATAAGAATTGAAGCGGCAATCCTAACAAACTCTGCACACACAAATCTGTAAATACGTGACAATATCTGAAGTGAAGCGTTTTCATCGAACGCCAAACTTAAAAACTTGACCAAAACACAAAAGAAACTTACGAAACTTTATTACATTTTACGATTACCTAAAATTATATCGTACTCCTTCAATATTCAAATCGCGATATAAGCATATACAACAGTTACTATCCCATTCTATATAAAAATACTTTACTCAAGAAAAACTGCAAATACAACGCCCAATCGAAGGCAGCTGGTGGATCGCTTCTGTGTCTAATTACAAAACATTTTTGCTGTTTTTTGTTTTTATTTTTTTTTTTACTTGACCGTAATATACACACTTAAGCGGATTATATTAGTATTTTTAGAAATGGCAACTATATCTAAAAACAAAAAAAAAGAAATTAATAAACTGGTTTCAGTCCCGGCTGACAGGTGAAGGACTACGCTAGTTTTGAGCTTTTCCCCGACAGCTTTTGAAAGCTGAACAACAGAAATCGACTAGGAAATACCCTGTACAGTCTTAACCATGAAACCTTTTCATACCACGATAAACTGATTTTCTCATAATTAATATGATATAAGAAGAAAACACCACATTTCCTTCACTTCGTCAGATAATCCACCTAAACAGGTCATATTCATAATACATATAACTTATTCCCATATTCTCCCAATAAATTCTTAGCATTTCTTCTCATTCAAGATGTGGATCAATGTGTAGTTCTTAGATTGCACTATGCAACAATTTATACAAAAAAAAAAAAAACAGAAAAAAAAAATTGAATTCCGAACATGTGACAGTTCATAAGTTAAATCAGATTCTGAATCCAAATAATGAACTTATGCCACACCTCCTAAATAAACCGATAAACGAGGAAAGCCAAAATATAGTTCACAGTTTAGGAGGATTGGCTGCAAAGTCATCGGCATAAGTCTGACCAAATATGTAAACATCTTTAAAATCATCAAATACAATTGCAAGATATTATTCTAGAACAATGCTATTTCAACACATCGGAAAAAATGAACCGGCGAAAAAATGTTCAAGTTCGGAATACACTTTACTATTGTTGCATAGTTTTATGGAGAATATAAACATTTTTTTCTGTTGAAAATCTGAAAATAGTCTTGATTGTGTATGGTCTGTTGAAAATTGAAGCAAATGCGTAGTGAATAAAATTGTTTAGGTAATTTTTATATATATATATTTTTTTTTTTTACATATTATTCAATGTTAGTACGTATCGTATTGTAGTTGGTTAGGTATGTATGTATGTAGGTGTACTAGGCAAGCATAATAAGAAGATAATTTTTGTAACGAAGAAAGTGAAGATGATGAATAAATAAAATGATGATGAAGATGAAGAGGAAGAAGTTTAAGATTGAATATGCAATGAAAACACCAAACAAAATGAAATTAAGGACAACCAAAGTAACAAAAAGCAACTAAACAAGAATGGAAACTGAATGTCGTACTTATATACACTGGTACAATAAACGACTATTATTATATTATGATGATATATGTATTGTATGCAATGGTCTGAGCCGGAGCATCTTAAAGTTATCAAAATATATATATATATATATATATATATATATATATATATATATATGTACTTAGTAAATATACAAGTTCTATTTGGTGTGTCTGTGTTAAATACTTACAATTACTAATAAATCTAACTCTAACGAGCATCATATAAAGAACGTTCAATGGGCATAATTATCATGTGCGCTGTAGCTCTCGTATCAAATCTAATCAATTTATTTTTAAATTGTTCAAAATAAACAACACAAAGAGACAAACACAAAATACAAAAAAAAGAAAAACTCACACAATATTCAATAGTATTAGACCAAAAAAAAAAAAAAACGGAAAAAAAAGAATGATTGAATGGCTATAACTAATCCTTATATGTATACTATATTGAAACTGAGGAATAAAAGTAATATCTGAAAGATAATTGAAATCAATACATTAATATCATTGCAAATATGTTGTCAAAAGACAAGCAAGGCTTAAGTGTTTATTATTTCCAAACAAAATGTTATATTTATTGAGATGAATATAAAAATATTGAAGCCCAAGTAAAACCTTTATTAATAAGTATTAATATCGATATGATAAACGAAAACAAAAAAAAACGTGAATTTATGTAATTACTGAAACCAGCTCGTCAAATACTAATCTAAAGTTATAGATACAGTTCATGTGAAATTTTTTGTGTGTATTTACAATAACAACAATGCAAGTCAGCTCAAACTTCTCCAAGTCGTATTTTTTGCAGGGCCAACCCGATGTTAAAAGACAAAATTCTATACAATTTCATCTTCATAAGTTGAATTTCTATACTCATCGAACATAAATTTGTATTCCATATGCATTATTATTTAACTGGAATGTAGGCATTTCCCATTTTAATATTTATCAAATTTATTGCATTTAAAATTAAGTTTTTCGTACATTTTTTAAAGTTTATTTAGTTTTTCGTTTTTTTTTACAATTTTGCTCTTATTCAATGTGTTTATAAGTCTAATTTTGTTGAGGCAGATATTTGATATAGCTAGAGAAGTTTCACTGAACTTACATACATTATATAAGTACATATATGAATCAATTTAAAACAAAAGACAAATACACAAAAAAAAAAAAACAACTTAACGAAGCCAATGTTCTGTGTATTCAATGTAATTAGTAATGTGCGACTTAATTAAATTATTAATATGATACATAAAACCCAAAATCCAGAAAAAAATACAATTTTATTTTTGTGATTCATGTAGTTATAGATGATTTCCTCTGACTAATGGCTAATTTAAATCAAAATTAGCTATAAGCTTGATCTCATTTCATAAAATACTAAGGAGCAGCCAATGCGCTATATTTTTCGTTCCACCAGATCGTGGCAAGTCAGTTTAATGTGTGACTGAAAACAAAAAATGGGATGGAATTTGTTAAAAAAAAAACCCATTTTGGAAATTTAAGGAAGTTGACATATATTGGCGGCAAAAGAAGGGCATGTTTGAAATTCAATTTTTTCTATTGATCCTTTAGTTACTTGCAATATTGTACTATCAATCTGTTGGTTCTCTAATTACTTGCAACATTGTACTCGATGATACACACATACACTTATATATAGAAAAACATATATATATATTCTTGTGCATATACATCTATATGCGTGGATATACATATGAATACCGAAATTTGTAGTTTAATCTGGAGCTTAAGGTTGTGTTCGTTGTATACGCCGCTGCAATACCAAAATTACATTTTATTGATGTGAATTTAAGAAACAGGTAAAAACCAAAAATACCAACAACAAAAATATATATATATATCTTATCAGACAAGTCATGTTGGAACATACATACTAATCGTTTAGCCTATCCCTTTCTCATCTGCGGTTTCTCCATTTCCCTTAGATCCAAAGTTAACAATTTTTATATATGTATGTATGTGTGTGCGAGTAGTTACCATATGATGTGGCTGAGCCCAGTAAAAATGAAAAATAAAAAACTAAGAATGCAGATGGAAAAATATCTTAAATAATTATATATTATAAATACATATGTATACATACATATACATAAATAAATAACTACGGCAAATGCATACACAAATATATATTAATAAATACATGTATATTTATAAATGTAATACATAAAAGGAAAAAAAATCATGCAAAAAAATTAATAAATGAAAAGAAAAATTGGAAAGTTTTGTGCTTGTGTAGATTTTAATAACAAACTAAATGAGTTTTTTAATTATTAAAATTCATTCAAATTGTTAATCTACAGTTATTCAGACCGCCATGTTTGCGCCAGTGCGTGGCTGAAAGCTGAATGCCACAGGTCTCGAATGAAGCGTCGCTTGACACAGGCTAATTGATATTATTGTGCGCCTACATTCAAATTCTTTTGTTCTGTGACTTAAAGTACAGACATGTATCTGTATATGTGGATAAATACAAATTACCGGCGTATCACCATTTAAGCGTATTTCATAAGCTAACTCCCATGATGATAAATTAAAATATTCCCTACAGTTCATTTGATGAATCGTGAGACGATAACAAAGTGCCTGCGGACGAGCTGTGCGCATGCTTTGAGATGCTGTATCATCTGTTATATTAATGCAATTGAATCCAAATACAGTCCAACATCTATAATGAGAACCCCAATATGATGACACAAGCAAATAGCACATATATATGCATATAGACTTCGAATTATATTTTTAACAATCCCAACGATTAACGACACTTATTAACGTGAAATTGTTAATAAAAAAGCAAAACTCAATCAATAATGGTTTCCGGAAAATGTACTGGTCAATCAAAACTAAAAACAATACCAACATTTTTAAGAATTTCAGCTGAAATTTTCTTTTGCAGATAATGTTGTAAGGAATTGTATCTATTGATCTATTGAATTTCGTTCACGCTAATTAAGTTTGACTGTATTCGCATCAGATTAATTGTTCAACGCAGTTCCTGCACAGCTGACTTGCACGTGCCTAAAGCTGAATGCCACACAAACTGGGCATCTGATGAAAGCTGCCTGTTACAAAACTCCGCTATATTTCATATTTTACTTCATCTTGAGCTCAAACTGAGTTGTTGTGAGTTGTATATAAATATATGTACATATATGAAAATATACTTTGTATGCAACACTATCAACAACTATCTTGCTTCGACTGCTAACCAAAAAGGGGTGTGGCAAACCAAAATAAAATCAATA